ACTTCAGGTTCTATTATTGATTGTGAAAGATATGAACTGTCCAGGCAATAGTTTCACCTTTCAAAACAGGTTTTCATTATATAGCCAAGACCTCTTTCTTTCCACAAAACTTGTTTTCTTACATTTTTCTTTGTATATCTATATAGTTGAACCAGATATTTGATAAATTAACATGTGCACAGCTTTCGGCAGCAGAATTCCAAGAAAGATCTGTGACTGTGCTGTATTTGAACTATCACCACCCATCACTGCTTAGACTCCACAAAAACAGAGGTAACACTGATCAGTTTACACACCATTATTCTTGAAACAAACAGCCAAAGACTAGCTGCTAAAGTCTGTAATAGTAATGTAGAATACTTGTTATAAAATTAGCAGCTTTGGGTGGTGAGGTTATTATACTTAACTATATAAAGGAAAATACTGAGCTACTTCATTTCACAATAATGCAAGGAAATCCAGAAACAGAAAAAGTAATTGAGTTGTTCAAGTCAACTCCATTCAGATTCAAGTCTGATGATTCTACCACAAAGTATGTTCCCACACCATTCTCTTATTTTACAGAATTCTCTGACCCAAACTGAAACCTATCCCTGTATTGTTTCAATCCTACTTCTCAACAGACATTGATCTTTTAAGCAACATGTCTGTAATTCTATCCAATTTACTTGCACGTGTTTCACATGAACATTTCTGCACCATGAAAAGAATCCTAAAATGATGAATCAATATAACAACGTTTTTTCCCCCATTCTCAATCTAAAATGAATACAAACTCGAACTTCCAAAGCACTGGTCGGACATTTAAGTATCCTTGAAGCGTAGGGAAATGTATCAGCCAATTTGTACAAACAGGATTGGGATAGTGACTAAATATTTTTCAAAAGGCTTTGATAAGATGCCACTTGTGAGGATATATTAGCTATGCCTAAAACAATGTAAAGTGGCCATTGTTCTACTGGACCATAGAGCTCCTTTCGAATTAGAGACACACTACCGGTGGTAGTTTAACCTAAGGGTCACAACACCTCAGGCAAGAGGAGAGGTTGAGAAGGACAGTCCTTCATTGTAACCTCAGCTAATGCAGGAATTGAATCCACGCTGCTGAACCAGTTGTCCAGTCAATTCCACTATAAGCTGTTTGCCAACTCTATTAATCTGCACATCAATTGGGAAAATCAATTAAGCCACAATGGCATAGAGGAAGAATTCCTGGAGTGTATACAGAATGGTTTTGTTGACCAATATGTGAAAAACCTACAAGAGAGCAGGCCATCTTAGACTGAGTGCTGTGCAATGAGAAGGGAACCATTGCCAATCTAGCTGTGCAAGACTCTTTGGGAAAGAGTGACCATAACATGAATTTTTTTTTCATCAAGCTGGAATGTGAGGTTGTTGATTCAGAGACTAGGGTGCTGAACGTTAATAAAGGAAACTATGAGGATACAAGGTATGAGTTGGCCTTGATAGGTTGGAGAGAGTTACTTAAAGGGATGACAGTGGATAGGCAATGGCAAACATTCAAGGAACACATGGGGGAACTGCAACAACTGTTTATTCCTGTCTGTTGCAAAAGCAAAATGGGTAAGAGGGCCAATTCATGGTTTACAAAGGAAATAAGAGAGTATCCGATCCAAGGAAGCAGCATCCAGATTGGCCAAGAAAAATAAATCTGAGGATTGGGAGCAGTTTAGAATTCAGAAAAGAAGGGCCAAGGGATGGATTAAGAAGGGGAAAATAGAGTACAAAAGTAAGCTTGCACGGAAGATAAAGACTGATGCTAAGAGTTTCTAAAGGTACGTGAAGAGAAAGAGATTGGTAAAGACAAACGTAGGGCCCCTACAGTCAGAAATGGGGGAACGTATAAAGGAGGACAAAGAAATGGCTGAGGATCTGAAAGTATACTCTGGTTCTATCTTCACAAAAGAGGACTCAAGTCAGATACCAGAATTGTCAGAGGATGCAAGATTTAGTGATGGGGAAGAACCGAGGGAGATCAATATTATTAAAGAAATGGTGCTAGGAAAATTGTGGGGATTGAAGGCCGATAAATCCCCAGGTACTGAAAATTTATATCCCAGGGTACTTAAGGAAGTAGCTCTAGAAACAGTGGATGCATTGGTGGTCATCTTCCAGGATTCTGTAGACTCTGGACCAGTGCCTGCAGATTGGAGGGTGGCTAATATTACTCCAATATTCAAAAAGGGAGGTAGAGAGAAAACAGGGGATTATAGACAGGTGAGCCTAACATTGGTAATGGGGAAAATTCTCGAATCCATTGTCAAGGGTTTTATAGCAGAGTATTTAGAAAGGAGTGGCAGGACCAGATAGAGTCAGCATGGATTTACGAAGGGGAAATCATGCTTGAAAATTCTGTTGGAATTCTATGATGTAACTAGTAGAGTTGACAAGGGGGAGCCAGTTGATGTGGTATATTTGGATTTTCAGAAAGCGTTTGATGAAGTCCCACATTACAGATTAATGTGCAAGATTAAAGTGCATGGGATGGATAGAAAATTGATGGGCAGAGAGCAAACAAAGAGTAGGAATTAATGGGTCCTTTTCAAATTGGCAGGCAGTAACTAGTGGAGTGCCACACGAAGCGGTGCTGGGACCGCAGCTATTCATAATATATATGTTAATGACTTGGATAAGGGAACAAAATGTTACATCTCCAAGTTTGCAGATGATACCAAGTTGGGTGGGAGAGTGAACTGTGACAAGGATGCAGAGATCCTTCAGTATGATCTTGACAGGTTGGGCGAGTGGGTAAATCAATGGCAGATGCAGTGTAATTTGGACAAATGTGAGGTTATTCACTTCGGAAGCAAAAACAAGGCGGCAGATTACTATCTGAATGGCTGTAAATTGGAAAAGGGGAGTGTGCAGCGGGACTGTTGTCATCCTTGTGCACCAGTCACTATAGGTAAGCATGCAGGTTTTAAAGAAGGCTAATGGTATGTTGGCCTTCATTGCGAGACGTTGAGAGTACAGGAGTACGGATATGTTGTTGCAGTTATACAGGGCCTTGGAGAGGCCAAACCTGGAATATTGTGTGCAGCTTTGGTTTCCTTTTCTGATGAAGGATATTCTTGCTCTCGAGGGAGTGCAGTCAAGGTTTACCAGGCTGATTCCAGGGATGGCGGGTCTGATGTATGAGGAGAGATTGACTAGATTGGGATTGTTTTTGCTAGAGTTCAAACGAATGAGCGGGGAATATCAGAGACTTATAAAATTCTAACAGGACTGGACAGGGAGGATGTTCCCGATGGTGGGTGTGTCCAGAACCAGTGGTCATTGTATGAGGATTCAGGGTAGACAATTTAGGACAGAAATGATGAGACATTTCTTCACCCAAAGAGTGGTGAGCCTGTGGAACTCATTACCATAGGAAGTAGTTGATACCAAAACAGTGAATGTATTCAAGAGGTGACTAGTTATAGCACTTGGGGCGAATGGGATCAAAGGTTATGGGAAGAAAGCAGGATTAGGCTATTGAGTTGAACAATCAGCCATGATAGTGAAGAATGGCGGAGCAGGCTCAAAGGGCTGAATGGCCTCCTCCTGCTCCTATCTTCTATGTTCAATGTTTCTACGTTTCTGAGGTGCCATTTGACACTGGCACTGGGCAAGCATCACAGCTTTTCGGCCTTCTGGTTGTGATTGTGGTAAACAGTCTCTCTTCTCTATAATGTCCCTGAAATATATATTTTGCTTTCACTTTGAATGACCCCTGCACCATGGTGTCATGGATAGTTTCCTCATCCAAACAGGCAGCACATTGCTCCTGAGGATTATACAGTACTACCCTGAAGTGCCTGCCTTTCTCAGTCACACCTTCTTATCCTTCATCACTAACCAGACCTGTACATAACTTCACCAGATGTCTGTGGTTGCCTCCACAATCAAACTGCGCTGATAACTTACCACATCCCTAATGCCCACAATGCCTACAACTCAACAATTTGGAGATATTCTGCAAGGAGCGGACACACCACAGATGTAGCAGTCCAGTATTATCATGTTCACCATAAACTCCAACATACTGTGGATAAAGCAGACAATCTGAACTGTCGCCACTAGCTAGCGTTACACTAGTTATTCATTCATTAAATATTTGTGTATTTAATTAATTTACTAAATTGCTTGATCCAATTTAAATTAAAGTACATTCAAACTTTACCCAAAATTTGTTCTTGACTTGTGCTGGGACTTCACTTCATAATATTTCTCTTGTCCTCTCTTCCTTTGTCTCCTCCTCCATCAGAAATGCCCTTTACACTATTCACCTTTTGTTCTCACATCCTTTACTGAATTCCTGATAGGGATTCTGTGTGTTTAACAAAGGTTTGATGGTTGAAAAAATAAAACTAAACAGGTGATCAAAACTACCTTTGATGATTCAGTGTATGAAACTACCTGTCATATGAAATACACAAGCCAACTAATTTTCTGGTACAAATGTTCTTCTGTGCTAACTCAGTCAAGACAGTTGTGTGTTCATTTTTGTTACGTTCAGTATCCTGAAGCTGAGGAAGGAATTAGGATCCTTGCTCCTGATCATAATTCTGCAGAACAGGCCCCACTTGTAGCTATCAGCTGCAAACAAGATTGACCTCAAGTTTTGTTACTCTGGAATGGTCAAATAACCGGTCAACAGCAGCAAAACTATTGGTTAAGGTACTGGAACAGTATTGGAAATATCAAAATGTAACTAAGTACTCCTAAACAAGAAATTTGGAGAGAAGAAATTGACAAGAATATCAACAATGCTAAACAAAAACCATAAGACCTGCGGATGCTGTAAATCAGGAACAGAAACAAAGTTGCTGGAAAAGCTCAGCAGGTCTGACAGCATCTGAGGAAAAAACAGAGTTCTGAGAAAGGGTCACCGGACCCGAAACGTTAACTGTTTTTTCCTTCATAGATGCTGCCAGACCTGCTGAGCTTTTCCAGCAACTTTGTTTTTGTTCATCAATGCTAATTTGTACTTCAAATACCTGTATCTCCAGGTCAGCAATTTTCTGTTGTAGTTCAACCACGGCTGCTATACTATCTGCTTCTCGAAGTCTCAGTACCATCACATCTTCTTTATTCTAAAATGATATTAAAACTAATCAACTACATTGTAAATAATACATCTGTACTCCAAAAACACACATCATTAGAGATTTTCTACTGGATTAAACATTTTAACAGTAATGATTTTGAATAGCAATCTATTGAGGAGGAGAATGGCATCTTGCATTTAAACATGCACTCTGATGCTTACGGAATTGGAAAATCGTCAAAAAGAGAATGATCAGGAGAATGAAACAAAGAAGTGAAGATCCGAAACACAAACAGAAATTGCTGGAGAAACTCAGCAGGTCTGGCAGCATCTGTGGAGAGGAAGCAGAGTTGACGTATCTTCAGAAGGGTCACTGGACTCAAATGTTAATTCTGCTTTCAATCTACAGATACTGCCACACCCGAGTTTCTACAGCAATTTCTGTTTTTGAATGATCAGAAAATGTTTGTCATTTATTTTTCAGAAACAGACTGAAAAATGTGCATGTGAGCATCAAAAAGTCAAGACTGTGAAATTTTACCCATCAAATAATTTTAGAAAAAAAAATTCAAAAAATGCTGTGGATAATAGAAATCCTTCTGGATACTGGTTTTTGTTTGTGACCAAATCAAATTAATAATCTATGAGGAACAGAACGTTTATTTTACAAATAAAAAAAACACCTAAGCACTAAGGGTGCTGAAAGTCATAAACAGAAACAAAAACAACCCTGTTCTGAGGGATCACTGGATCTGAAACGTTAACTCTGCTTTCTCTCCACAGGTGCTGCCAGACCTGCTGAGTTTTCCAGCAATTTTTGTTTTTGTTTCTATTTTACAAATATTGTAATTCTCATTAGGTTCACTGTGCATGTTCTTTAAATCGTACACATACCTTTCTATGCCATCCTGTACTGCTCATCAGTGTAATTAGAATAACAACTTAGAGTCTTTTCTATTCATTTGTAGGATGGGAGTGTTGGTGGCAAGAATCTATTTCTCCAATTCACCTCAAGGACGTGGTGGTCAGTCACTTTCTGGAGCCTCTGCAGTCCATGCTGCATAGGCATACCTACAAATGTTGCTGAGTACGGACTACCAGCATTATTCCCTGAAGGCAGTGAAGCAATGGCACTATAGCTCCAAACCAGGGGATGTGTTACTGTGGCCAATTAATGAATAAAACTCAATAACAAAATATATTCAAAGTGCATAGAACTTTGATCCTCACTACATTTTAATAACGGCCACTGTAAAATATCCAATTTCTAAAGCTTTCAAAGAGTATTAGTGCTTCAATCATTTGATGCAATCAGCCTGAGAACATCATTGTTTTCCTCAAAAATACATCACAGGAAAGTAGCCCACAAAAAAAAAATTCTAACTTTTATGGAGATAGTGTACTACTTAACACAGTGGCTACTTATAGTTTGTAATGAACTTAGACATCAGGAAATCAGAGATGCTTGCATCTGATACAATACAAACATCAACATAACGGCAGTTTTAGAGTTTGTACTTTTGTAATCATTTTAAGGCTTTTCTGTTGTGGAAAAAGACCACATTTAGTTAATACCCTTCCATATTAACACATATATAATTGCAAAAACAAATTATTCTTTTTGAAAGGGATCACATTGGGGGTTCAGATACTACTTTTAACTACAGCTGAATTTACCAGAATACACGGGTTTTAAATGTGCAAAGTTACTACAAACTGAAGAAACCAAGACAAGTGACCAAGATATGAAGGCTCACATACAACAGTGACTGAAATTCAGAGCTCATTGTCAGATGGAGAAGATTTACTTGTGGTAGTCTTCACCTTTGTAATTAGTATTGACTTCAGGTATGGTTTTAATGGAACAATCATTAAAACCACTGTCGTACACTAATTAAAACCAAAAGCTGAATGGGATGAGCAAATCCTTTTAGATAAACTTAATTTGAAAACAAAATGCACAGTAAAAATTTAGGGTGTTGATCCAATAACACAGAAAAGTAAATCTAGAACAGCAGCTGTACATTTTCTTTCACAAGTAATTTACATAATACGCGCTCATTCAACAAACACATTTTTCACTCAAAGGAAATAAAGGATTTACAAAGACTATTTCAAACATTTTTGTAAAAAAGAATATTTGTCAAAATACTTGAATTATTTCAGTACATTACTTGAAATCTGGATAAAGATTTTAAAATAGGGTTTCTTGAAACACAGAGTTCCACAGTGCGCACTGTTCTTGTACCAGTTTGAAGCGCTGTGAAATAATTTTCTTTCAAACATATGGAAATAGCTATATAATCAGTTAATATCATAGTCATACAGCACAGAAACAGAGCTTTCAGTTCAACCAGCCATGCTGAACATAATCCCAAACTAAACTAGTCCCACCTGCCTAATCCTGGCCCATATCCTTCCAAACCATTCCTATTCGTGTATTTATCCAAATGTCGTCTTAAACGTTGTAACTGTACCCACATCCACCACTTCCTCAGGAAGTTCATTCCATACCTGAGCCACCATCTTTAAAAAAAAAATTGTCCCTCATGTCTTTTTTAAAATCTCTCTCCTCTCAGCTTATAAATGCACCCTCTAGTTTTAAAATCCCCTATCCTAGAGAAAAGACAACTACCATTAACTATTTATACCCATCATTATTTTATAAACTTCAATATCGTCACCTCTCAACCTCCTACGCTCTACTGGAAAAAGTCCCATCCTATCCAGCCTTTCTTCATAACTTAAACCTTCCATACCCAACAACATCCTGGTAAATCTCTTCTGAACCCTCTCCACCTTAATAATGTCATTCCTCTAACTGGGTGACCAGAACTGGACACAGTATTCGAGAAGAGGCCTCACCAATGTCCTGTACAACCTCAACATGACTTCCTTACTCCTATGCTCGAAGGACTGAGCAATGAAGGCATGTGTGCAAAATGCCTTTTTAACCATCTTGTCAATGTGTGACACACATAATGCATCACATAAACAATAAACACTACTGCTCGTCTCAAAATGTTGTCAAAAATCAGATGACAGACATCATCACACTGTAAAGCTCAATTCTGATAGGCCAATTAATAGTATACTGGAGACCTTACTTCATTTGCAAGATCAGCTAACCAAGTAGAGGTTTAAATCTTCACTAAACCTGTCGTTTTCTCACCATACATTCACTCTCTGCCACACCTTTTTTCCTCACAATTCCTACATTTAATTTCTCATCACAATCACATTTTCATCCCACTTATGAAACAGAAGTAAATAGAATGAGTTACAATATGCTATAGCCCTTAAAGTCGAACATGAGAGTTAGGAGCAGTAGTTATACATTATGCTATGAATATGCAACATTTTGAATTCAAAATAAAAACTTCAAATGTTCTGAGAAACATCTGAATAATGTAATAAATTTCATTTGTAACTAAGAAAAAGGAAATCAAAACATTGAACGGAAGAATAAGCAAGGATATTCGGGTAGAAATATTGTGTAACCTAATCGCTAAAAATACACCTTTGTGCATGTAATTTCAATACCATCAAAAGGAGGAGGAAAAGCCTTAATCATAGAATATTGCGACTTTCATCATTGTCAGAACATATCTGTTTGCTATTCACATGTTTATCAAAACTATCAATTGCACCAGGAAAAACTTGGAATGTCTTTTGTGTTAAAGTGAAGAATTGATAATAAAAGTGCAATTTACTCAAATAAAACAAAAGTTTAAACTATGACATTTTATCAAACACCTTGAAATGTTCACTGTTTCAAACTCGATCTAAAATTTATGTAAAACTTGATAGATCAATCACACTCAAGTCAGTTGGTTGACATAAACTTTACACCCATGATTATTAGACTTACTGTGTACCTTATATACTTCATAGCAACCCTCTTAAACCAAATGAAAACAAAGCCAAAGAACTAGTTACAGACTTTAGGAAAAGGCCAATCAACGATGTTGTTCCCGTGAAGATTATGGATGTGGATATTCAAATAGTTACCGGACAAGCATTAAAGTATCAAAATACAAAATAAGATGCATTAAAGAAAATATACAAGAAGAATACATAATTATATCACCCCAAAACATTAAAATCCATTTTTTACTGCAATCATTAAACTGTTCCAAGGCTGTAGTTGAGACGAAACTCACTCATAATGGCAAATTGCATCAGAATTGTTTTTAATACATTTTGATTCAAGTTAGACCTGATTTTCTTTTCTTAATTGTTATTATTGATTTATACTTTTCAACGAATCAGCAATGTACCCAAAATGAACTTCGGATGGGCGTTTAATTGAAATAGGAATATACTATACCTTGCAGTCCATCTCAGCTATTTTTCTTTTAGTTTCATTTAATTGAGTGAGTAGTCCTTTATTCTGTGCTGTGAGATATTGCACCTTCTCACGAAGGCTACTGCACTCCTTCTCTGCTCGACATAGCTGGTTACTGCTGATTTGGTTCTGATATTTTGACAAATTAACAAATAAACAAATCAAATTACAATATGCAATTTCAAATTCATATCAATTTTTCTAATAGCAATGTTTAAACATACGCTACGTGCACACAGTTTTGGTCTCCTAGCTTATGAATGAATGCATTTGCATTAGCAGCTTGGAGAAGATGGACTTAATTGACTTAATTCACTTAAGATTCACTTAATTGAGTCATGGGATTGAGTGATTGTCTTATGAGGAAAAGGCAATTCTGTAAAATTTAGAAGATGACAGGTGATTTGAAATGTATAAAAACCTGAGGGAAACTGTCACGAGTGGATGCTGAGGGGCTTTTCTCCATATGGGAATTACTACTCTACAATTTTAAAATAAGAAGCTTCCTCACTTCAAATGGAGATGAAGCGAATTTATTTCTCTTAGAGCATCATAATATGTGGACTTCCTTTTCTCGCAGCAATTAAACATTTTTGAATTAGATAAATATTTGGTTAACAGAAGAGCCCATGGTTATAAGGTTAAATAGAAAATTAGAGTTGAGGCCACAATCAAATTAGCTAGTTCTTATCAAATTGTAGAGTAGGTTTCAGGGGTCAAACAGTTTGCTTCTATTCCTTTTCTATACGGATGTACTTATGTTAATTCCCCTTCCACGTGCTTTATGAGAATGGAAAATGAGATCTTCTGGAGGATTGTGGTTAATATATCTGAAGTGATTTATATCCTCTTTCTCCACATACATTAGTTAGTATGATGGCATTTCACAATCCTTCATCTGGACAAAATGCATATTTGGAACTTCTGAGAATGGCACTTTGTCAATGTCAAATCTGGACTATTAGCTGTCAGTAGTGACATTCACCTTAAAAAATAAAAAAAAAGTCCTGTCCACATTGTTTTAACTGAATTAGAATGCAGACTTCCTATTTTGTTGATAACCAGTTTGAATTTAGTGCTCTCAAAAGGGGATCTGTGGCATCTATGAACAGGACAAACAACAGAGGCTGATCAAGCAACGAGATAGAAAAATCTTCAAAGAATGTAAAGCAGGAAATCAAAAGAAGGAAATTTACGTACAGTATAAATTTTATAAAATCTGGGACATCCACATGAGGGGAATAACAAATAGAAAAACTTATCAAACAGCATATCCCTTCAGCTGTTCACAACAAAGAAAATACTGACTGTACCCAAAAGGCACACACTTGCAAAACATGCAAGTGTCTAATATTAGATGTGATTCTGCAATGAGACAGCATGAGCTGTATATTCCCGAGTGTGCAAACAATGATGCTGACAACAAATTTAAGATTGTCAACTGGAGACACAGTGGGATGTGTGCATGCACTGGAAGTTATGTATATTAATATATAGGGCCCTGTTCTTTGCAGAATGAAAGGACATGCTCTCACACTGTGCCTGTTTCAACTCAACAACACAGGTGACAGTCATTCACTGGTTAATTTGGGAAGGGCAATTCTGTAAAATTTAGAAGATGACAGGTGATTTGAAATGTATAAAAACCCGAGTCATTCACTGGTTAATTTCTCAGAAATGCCTCGACCAGAGTCAAACTGCCTTGTTTAGAATTTAAACAAAACCTGGTAGTTCGCTGTCAATAATCACTAATTGGTGTATTCTTCACAGAAATATTTCCACCAGAATCAACATGCCAACCAGTCAGCTCTCTCCTCTCATAAATGTTGGTTTCTGTTTAAATTAGCACTCTTGCAAGTTGTCCTGATTAGTGCAAGACAAAAGGTTTCAAGAAAAATTTGTTTTTTTTCCAGCAATAATCGGCACGGTGGCTCAGTGGTTAGCACTGCTGCCCCACAGCGCCAGGGACCCGGGCTCAATTCCATCCTCAGTGACTGTCTGTGTGGAATTTGCACATTCTCCTTGTCTCTGCGTGGGTTTCCCCTAGTTTCCTCCCACAGTCCAAAGACATGCAAGCTAGGTGGATTGCCCATAGCATTCAGGGATGTGTCAATTAGGTGGGTTATGACAGATGGGTCTGGGTGGGATGCTCTGAGGGGCAGTGTGGAATTGTTGGGCCGAAGGGCCTGTTTCCACACTGTAGCGAGATGATGATGATGATGATGATGATGATGATGATGATGATGATGATGATGATGATGATGAAGAAAATCTGCACTAGCAAATCACCATAAGGATTGGTATTTATATTTCAGTAGCATTAAGTCGAAGTAGCATCTAAAAGTAGTCAACATGCCACCCCTTCCATTTGAGCTTTCACTTTCAGCAATAATCTTTGATATGGCACCTTATTAAGTGTCTCTGAAATCTAAGTATAATACATCTACCAGTTGCTCTTTGTCGAAGGGATCTGTTACCTTCTCAAAGAACTCCAAAATATTGGTACATCATTTCCATTTCACAAAAACATGTTGACTCTCTCTGATTACCTTGAACATATCCGAGTGCTCTGCTATAGCTTCTTTAATATACACATAACATTTTCCTTATGACAGATGTTAAGCTAATTGTCTTGTAGTTTTCTACTCTGTTGCCCTCTCTTTTGAAATAAAGGAGTCAATATTCACTATGCTCCAATTGATTGGGGCCATCCTTAAATCAAAGGTTTTGAAAAATTAAAATTGTTATATTAATTTTCTCAATAGTCACTTCTTTTAAGAGCCCAGGATGATGTACATTAAGATGTAGGTACTTGTCAGCTCATAACTCCAACAATTTACTGATTATCAATTCTCTGGTGACTGTGATTTTCCGGAGTTCCTCCCTTCCCTTTCCTGATTTATCACTGCCTCTGGGATGTTATTTGTATCCTTCATAGCAAAGATTGATGCAAAATGACCGTTCCAATTCATCTGTCAATTTCTTATTTTTCATTATTAATTTTACAGTCTCACTTTCTACAGGATTAATGCTCAGTTTGTTGACTTTTTTTCAAGTTTCACCCCAGAGTGAGATATTGTAGTCCTGTGTTATGGAACTAGAATGATGAAACTGGAGTTTAGGCTTAATTTTCTGAAGACATCTGGGGTGGAGATAAAGAGTTATAAGAAGAACAGAAATAGATTCAAGTTGAGGTCTAACATATCTGTGAGTAAGTTACCTACCTAATCATCTCAGCATTGCCTAAAACAGGAAAAGAATAACATTGGAAAAGGAAAGAACTTTCAGAAAAAACTTAAAGTTAAATCTGTTCAGCAAATTCGATTCCATGAAAAAGCCAATAGTGGTTATTTATACCTGTGTTTCAAGTTCCAGCATCCTTTGTTTAACTTCTTTCAGTTCAGCCTGTGTTTCAGCTCCTCTAAGGCGCACAGTCATCAGTTCATCCTGCAGCTCACTCACAGCATTCTTCCGTGGGGAGTCTTTCCACCTGCCAGTAACTCGAGTCAGATGATGCTAGAGACAATTTGAGAATTGGAATGAGTTTTATCATCATCTGTGGTCACACTTGTCACTCCAAGTAAAGTTTATAGGTTTTACAACTGAAAAGGGAAATCCTTTCAGTGTATTTTTTAAATATGACAAGCTATTCCCCTGCAAAATAGATATGCTGCTTTGGACATTGTTGAGGTGAATGGCCTCTGGGGAAAACAGCAACAGCTAAATTTGTTGCACTACAGTTGGCTCTGCTGCATAGAGAAAGAGTACAGAGTGTGGGAATGCAATAGTTTTAGGGAATTCGACTGCAAGAGACAGGTGTTTCTGTGCCTGCAAATGAGACTCCAAGATGGTTAGCTACCTCCCTGGAACTAGGGTCAAGGATGTTTCAGGGCAGCTACAGGACATTTTTGAGGGGGGAGGATGAACAGCTAATGGTTATGGTACATACTGGTACAAACGATATTGGATTTAAAAAAAGAGATGAGATCTGTAAAGGATGGAGTTATTTGAAATAAGTTGAAAAGTACGACCTCAGAAAGTAGTGATATCAGGATTATGACCAGTGCCACATGCTGGTCCAAGTAGAAATAGCAGGATTTATATGAACATGTGGCTAAAGAGATAGTGCAAGCAGAAGGATTTCAGGTTCATGGGGCATTAGGACTGGTTCTGGGGGAGATAGGACCAGCACAAACTGAACGGATTACACCGTAGCAGGAACAGGACCGATGGCCCGGGGAAGTATTTGCTAGAGTGGTTGGGAAAGCTTTAAACTAATGTGGCAAGGGGATGGCAATCTAAGAAAAGAGTCAGAGGAAGGGAAATCAAGGCCAAAAACAAAAGACAGGGGAATAAAAAAGAAGAGGTCAAAAATCACACAATACCAGGTTATAGTCCAACAGTTTTATCTGAAGAAACAAGCTTTCGGAGTCTCACTCCTTCATCAGGTGTCAGTGAGAGAAGTGACATCAGACAGAATTTATAAGCAAAAGATCAAAGGGTCTTAGAATTCATGTGGTGTTGAACAAACCTAAGGTGGCTATTAAATCTTTAATTAGTTAGAAAGGGTTAATATGCAAATTCATAAATTTCTTTCAAGTCACTGCCCCGGGATAACTAAAGGTTTTATTAGAAATGGGGGAGGGGAAGGGGATTCTGAAATAAATAGGGAGAGAGGGGGAGGCGGATAGAAGATGGATAGAGGAGAAGATAGGTGGAGAGGAGACAGACAGGTCAAAGAGGCGGGGATGGAGCCAGTAAAGGTGAGTGTAGGTGAGGAGTTACGGAGGGGATAGGTGGGTCCAGGGAGTACGGACAGGTCGAAGGGGCGGATGAGGCTAGTATGTAGGAGATGGGGGGATAGGTGGGTTCGCACTAAACAACTGCACCACCCAGTCGCAAATCATTTCAGCTCCCCCTCCCATTCCTCAGACGACATGTCCATCCTGGGCCTCCTGCAGTGCCACAACAATGCCACCCGAAGGTTGCAGGAACAGCAACTCATATTCCGCTTGGGAACCCTGCAGCCCAATGATACCAATGTGGACTTCACGAGCTTCAAAATCTCCCCTCCCCCTACCGCATCCCAAAACCAGCCCAGCTTGTCCCTGCCTCCCTAACCTGTCCTTCCTCCCACCTCAAGCCCCACTCCCATCGCCTACCTACTAGCCTCATCCCGCTCCCCTGTCCGTCCTCCCTGGACTGACCTATCCCCTCCCTAACTCCCCACCTACACTCACCTTTACTGGCTTCATCCCTGCCTCTTTGACGCGTCTGTCTCCTCTCCACCTATCTTCTCCTCTATCCATCTTCTCCCCGCCTCTGCCTCTCTCCCTATTTATTTCAGAAACCCGTTCCCCTCCCCCATTTCTGAAGGGGGGTCTGGGCCCGAAACGTCAGCCTTCCTGCTCCTCTGATGCTGCTTGGCCTGCTGTGTTCATCCAGCTGTACACCTTGTTATCTCAGATTGTCCAGCATCTGCAGTTCCTACTATCTCTAAAGGTTTTATTAGTTCCCTCAGTATGCCAGAGGTGACATCCCAGGTCAGGCAATGCATTTTAGGTGTGAGGCAGTGTTTAGAATTTGGGTGTGTGTCAACTTGGAGTCAGATTGGTTTTATTTTCAAAGTAGGAATTTATAAAATGCCACACTGACTGTCTACAAATTGTGTGCTTTTTGAACAAAATAGAATATATCTGCAATTACATGTCTGCAAATGCAAATTCACCCAATAGTTGTGTGTGCGTGTGAGCATGCGCGCGCCACCGTCAGGACAGGCATGCTCCCTCCCAGTGGGGGAACACTTCAGTGGGCAAGGATATTCGACCTTGGATCTTTGGGTAAACGTCCTCCAAGGGGGACTTCGGAATACACAACAATGCAGAGTTGCTGAGCAAAGGCTGATAGCCAAGTTCTGTCCCATGAGGATGGCATCAGCTGGGATCTTGGGTTTATGTCACACGACAGGTCACTGCGCATGGATGCGCTCTCTTCCCAGACACACCTCCCACCTTAATGGGCACACTCTCTCTCCCACCCCCACTCTGACCACACGTGGGCATGCACACACACACTCTCTCTCCCCGCCAACCCCCACCCACACGCTGGCGCGGTCTCTCTCTCTCCTCCCCCCCACAGCCCCGAAAACTGCTATGACATTGTTGGCATTGCAGAGAGATCGCTGCAGAATGACCAGGGATGGGAAGTGAATATCTGGGGTATTTAGTATTTGGGAAGGACAGAAAAAGGCAAAGGCATTGCTGGTTAGAGGAAATTAACATAATAGTCAGGAAGGATGTTAGTCTTGATGACGTGGAACCTGTATGGGTGGAGCTGTGAAACACCAAGAGGCAAAAAACATTAGTGGTGGTTGTATATAGACACCCAAACTGTAAGTGTGATTTTGGTAATGGCATTAAACATGAAATTAGAGATGTATGAAATCAAGAAACGTCTAATTATGAGTAACTTTAATCTGCACCTTGATTGGGGAAAGCAAACTAATGGCAATTCTGCATATGAAGAAATCCTGGAGTGTATTATAGAATGGTCCTCTGGATCAATATTTTGAGGAACTAACTAGAGAACAGGCCATTCTCCACTGAATTGAGAGGAATAATTGGCAATCTAGTTGTGTCAGACCGCTTGGGGCTGAGCAATCATAATGATGGGCTCTTCATCTTGATGGGGAATTCTAAAGGAACATACAATGGTATGAGGCGCAAGTTGGCTATGATAGACTGGAGGACCTTATTTAAGAGAGATGATGGCGAAAATGCAATGGCTAACATTCAAAGGATGAAAGTAATCATCCCCAGCATTTTCATCTGAGGAATGTAGGATACTCCAGTAGCATCTCAGGGTAAAATCATTTACTCCAAAGGAGTGGAAATAGTTGAAAGATCCACAGGTACCCTTACCCAGCTGAAGGATAATAATGGCCAGCCATTTAATACAGACCTTATGTGGAAGCAGGAACCACACTGGAGACCTTCAGATAACTTTTGGTGTGGTTAGAGATTTGAAGGAGTGGGGAGGAGGGAATGGGAAGTTCTCCCTGACTTGTATGTGGTGTGTCATCATCAAAACTGGAACATGGTCCATGATGACTGCTACATGCAGTGCCAAAGACAATAATAACATTACTTCAGCATCAATTGTGAACTTTGAAAACTTGTGGGTAATGCTTTCCAAATGCACATGCATGTTGGCCATTATTGTATGACAAAAGCATCATTGAAATACAGATAAATTGCACTAAGTCAATCACATCCTTTGTGGTATCAGTTAAGTAGCATGACGACACTTTGGCTTACTAAATTAGTAGACCAGGGCAGAGTAGTAAAGCAGTTCACACTGTTACTCATTCTTTTCTTTCACTGTCAGAAATACCTATCAATAAATATAAAAGGTTAGAGGATAAAATTTATGATATGCAGAAAATTAATTTGATTTTCAATTTTGGCTACTTAGTAACTCAGTCTACATTTACTATAGTGTATGGCAGCATTAAATCTTCAGTTAACTAGATAGTACCCTCGCTGCCACCTACAGAATCAAAGTTGTAAGATAACTGAACTGATGAACTCTTCAACTTTCATTCTTAAACAAAGTAGCTGAATGAAATGAGAACTGCCACAAGCACTGACAAGAGTCCCATGTTACTCTTATTGGGCACTTGAGAAATATCAAGTTCTCATTGAAATGAAGCATCATAAAATAAGATCACATCTTAGGAGTAAAGGGATTTTCACAATGTCACAGTTAGCCCACTCTCATTATATGTCATAGGGTTGACAACAGAGGCAATGAATACTACCTAACCAACCATTATTTTTCCAGTATTAGAAGTCATCCACTTTACATGGCACTGGTAATGCATACACCAGACCAGTCACTGAAAGGCACTGATGAACCAGTTGAGAAAAATCCAAGAGGTATAGCATGTTCTTAGACCTTCCACAAGAACCTCAGACTTGGATTTGTCTAGCAACAAAGGCCAAGAAAGATGACAAGATTAACAACAGATACATTTCATTTCATCCATCATCAACCTGACCAATACATTTTGTTCAGTAAGTTACAGAGCTCTAGGGACTCAGCTCAAAGATTTGATGACCAAGAAACTTCTTCACAATCTTGCAAATTCCTCATGTTAATATAACTAGTACTGTGTGTGGAAAAATCCAGACTAGAGTTATGCAAGTGTGTATGATAGACCCCATACTATCTACAACCGACCTGACAATAACTATCCACCTCAAAGATCGTCTACTGTCCAGTGTCAGTATTAAATACTGCCTAGGCAGAAAACTCAAAAACTGTCAAAACTAAACTAACATTACATGCCTGCAGTATCACTGTCTAGATCTGAAATGGCACCAGATTTGCAAACTACTCTCAATCTCTCCATTCTGCATACAAAGAAACTCAATCTACCTTTGAACATTGCCAAAACAAAACTCATATCAGCCCACAGCTGGATTTGTACAAATATCCCATCTCTCAAATACTTT